AGGTTAACCGAAAAGACAATCGATACCAATTGTTTAAATTATTTTCGTATTAAATATGTTATCGTTAGGATAAATAAATAAAATTTTTGAAATTTGTTTACAAACGATGGGTAATTTTATTTGAAAAATTATGTTGACTCGTAACTTGTCAAAGTGGTATGTGTATCAATCAAAGAAACAAAATTCTTCTTAAGTTTTTCAGTAATTAAAAAGTAATGGAGGTACTCGAACTAGTTCCTCGGATGAACGTCAAAGTGCTCCTCGATCCTTTCCGGGATGGTTGAGTGTCACCGGAAACGAGAGCAACACGTGAACACCGCGTATAAGAGCATAGTGTTGTATTGATCTTTTGCGACACCAGCTGACCCGTTAGATAAAACCCCATCCTATCCTATCCCAATCCCATTTAACCCCATTCCACCCCATTCTACCCCATTCTACCCCATTCTACCCTGTTCCACCCCATTCCAACCCTTTTCTTATCGAACCAAATCGAATAGTCGTTTTCTATCGAAATTTTACGCAATCCATATTAGACGTGTTAATATAATTATGGTTATACAAAATCGAATTTATCGATCTACGATTATGGTTAAAAAAACGTTGGGCAAAAATTTTTTAAACACAAACGTCCAGATCTTATGCATTATTTTATTTTCTTATCAATTTCATTTAATATTTATTTTATTAATTTCAAAATTATATATTTATATATAATATAATTTTGTATTAATTATATACATATAGGTATATATAATTTATTCTTGAACAAATATATCGTTTTATAATGCAAATTTAAACGTCTTAAATAATATTACCCTATATCCGAAAAAGAAAAAAATAATATTATATTTCTTAATTACATTAAATAATCTAATATATATATATATATATATATGAACAAAAAAAATCAGAGTACATATTGGGCGTGAATTCTTTTTTCATCTCTAACTTTTTTCAAACTTTGAAGAAGAAGAAGAAGAAGAGGAAGCGATGGTTAGATTCTTTTACTATTCTTTAAGGGATTCTCGCGCGAGTTCGCTATTCCTTTTAAGGTATTATTTATTAACAAAGAACGCGCGAATTACATTGCTCCTTTCTTTTTTCCCTTTCGTTTTATTTTTACTTCTTCATTTTCCTATTTCTCCGTCTCCCTTTTTCTCACCAGAACCCCTCCGCCCACTACTACTACCACCTCTTTACTTTGGTCATTTTTTTCTTTTATTTTTCATTTCTTTTTTTTTTTTTTTGTGTAAACGAAGGGCACTTTTTTCACAGTTTTCGTATCTCTCCGGTGTCGTTGAATAAGTAAAATTCACTTCTCTTTGGTGCCACCTATTTTCTTGTCCTCCCCTCCCCCCTTTCCCCCTCTTCATCTTTCTCTTGTTATTTTATTCCTTTTATATCGAATGCATCACACGTATAACTTGGTGGATAGATTCAATCGAAATGTGCATCTTTCGTTAGATGATCTAATTTGGGGTCCTTGGTATTACGTATTTTTTTATAATTTGTATTAAATATATAGTATATATAAAGTATAATTATATTCTTTATCTTGTTGAGAAGATAAATATAAAAGAAAGAGAGAGAGAGAGAGAGAGAGATGAATAATGTAAGATTTTTTAAATAAGATTTTTAGCATATATATTCGTGTTTGCATTGTGTATTATGGACAAATATTTTATTTTAATTAATATTTGTTTATTATTATATTGCCTTTTAAATCCTATTATACTTATTTAAGAATAATTTTATATTATACAAGTTATAATGGTAAGAATGAATGAATAAGGTAATTTAAATTTTTCTATCAAGAGATTGTTAAACCAAATCCTACTGGTGGCTGTGAATCTGAATAAAGATATATTATTATTATTATTTATTATTATATATTTATTTAAAATAATATATTGAGAGAATACACATAAATGAAAAAGAAAGATTAATAAGTTGACTTTGTGAATGAAGAAAAATAATATTATATGAAAAGGCAAAGAGAAATATCATAGATATCGTCAGACAGACTACTACTCTCCCTTTTCACAGGGTTATCTTTATGCTCCTTGCTTTCAAGAATATAGTTATTGCGACAGCAATGTTATTTTCTAAACGAAATACGTTTAGGTCTTTGGAGCCATGTGCTCGTGTTAGTCGATTTCACGACGTTCTTACCTATATATAGAAACTGTATAACGTGTAGATATGTAAGATTTTATTATATCAGTTGATAAGAACACACATATATATATATGTACATACACACGCATATACATGTACGTGTGTTTGGCAGAGTGAATTCAAGTTTGCTAGAATACATAGCCATGTGTATTATAATTTGGTTCTATGCATTAAAGGGATAATTAGGGTATGTCTGGGTAAGACAGTTAATTTCCAAGATAATTAAACTATCTTATTTTAAAATAATACTTACTTGCTATATATTTTATATACACGTGTTAAATTATATTATTTTACGTAACGAAATTATCAAGTAATCTAACGAAACGTATGTAATCACGAAACTCGTATATGTTGTAAAGCAAAGAGACAGAGAAAGAGAGAAAATATATATAGCAAATACATACATAATGTGTTAGCAACAGAAACAGCAGCAGCAGCAGCAGCAGCAGCAGCAGTAGCAGCAGAAGGATCGATAACGAAGTGCAATGGCATGCAACTCGTGTGCTTGGGTATGCGAGAGGTAATTACTGATAGTAATTAATATATGTTCCAAAAAAAATGATGGATTCAAGACGTGACGGGGGGGGGGGAGGATTTTTGTACCATGTAAAAGCAATCTTTTTTACATAGATCAGTTCAGATGGTATATGTAAACATATATATTATATCCAACTATCTATGGATACGTACAAATGTATCTATAGGAATATGAGATGAATGCTTGGAATTTATTATGAAACGTGAAGGGACTGGGGGCAGGGGGAAGGAGGGGGGAGGAGAGTAGCAGCATCCACACGAACGTGGGTCATTGCACCAAGATTCCTGATCTCTAACAAACACGTCATCTATATATGCATATATGTATTATTTGTATGTATATTGTATATTATCGTCACACGTATATATCACCCTAAAAAGCATCGTAATTTTATTTGATTGATATATTCCAGTCATTAATTTCAAATCGTGAGATATATTATACACGCAATACACATACATACACTCCTATCGACCGTAAATATTTCTTTTTCTTTTATTTATTTATTTAATTGTTAATTTTATCCCGCTGAAACAAGTATCCCCGTTGTTTTCAACGAGATAAATGCGTTTTTTTTCTTTTTTTAATTATTTTTTATATCGCGCCCCCTTCGAGGAGCGTTGAATGAATTATTATTCAAGAATATTGTAATATGTTAGAATAAACTGAAAGTGTATAGTATTGCGGTGTTGTCGATGATTGTGTAAAAATATACATTATCAATCAGTCTTTATAGTTTTGTTATTTTCAAACAAAAAAAAAAAAACGAGCATTTAGAATGTTACGTTTATCTTTATGGGTTTTTTTTTCTTTCTTTCTTTCCTGCTGAATTTTTTCTTTTTTTTGTACCGTTTCTAGCGAGTTTAATTTATACGTCGCGTTTTATCATTTTACATTTTTAAACGAAATAAAATATATATATATATATATATATATATATATGTATATATTATACGTTTGTCGTGCGACAAATACAAAAGTGACATTTTAATATTATTTAAAATGAATTCTTTTTCTTCTAAGTTCGATGCACCATTTTCTATGAAATCCTAACGGTAAACTGATTCGTTTCCATCTACAAAAGTTACATTTTGCTATCGATTGCTGTTTATATACGACTTTTTGAAGGCTACATATGTATTACGAAAAAAACTATTCGAAATAAATCGAATTTATTTGTTCGGAAAGTCATATAAACAAATTTCAATAAAAAGAACTTTCACAAAGGACAACGTGCCAGTTTAACGAGAGACTTCGAGGAGAAAGGTGCACCGAATATATACATACACATTTCATTCGATTAATTAATAATTATTTAAGGTATATCGAATACAGTATTGTTTTCTACTAATAGTTTTGATTGTTTAAACATTCTAACTTTAGTTATTACTTTCACTTCGAAATTATTTTTTATTCAAAGTACATTAATAGGTATGTTATGTTTATACAAATGTATATACTATTAAATAATCTTAATTATCAATAGAATGAATTAGAGTATTAAAATAATTATTAATTAATCGATGCAAGCGTCTATTGTTGTCTAAAAACTAGGAGAATACGATCTGTGTACCGTCCTCTTTGAAAATTCTTTTATTAAATGTTGTTTATATGACTTTCCGAATATTGCGCATGTGTATAATGGGAATAATATTCGTAATAAATCGAATTTCCTTGTTCGGAAAATCATATAAACAACATTAATTAAAAGAACCTTTGATAGAGGACAACAAATTAGTTTATCATTGGATTTCGAAGAGAACGGTGCACATAACTTATACTCTGTGTTTTTAAACAACAATATACATTTAATTCGATTAATTAACAATCAATTAAGGTAAATCGAATACAGTATTGTAGTTTAATAATATTTTGGATTGTTTAACCTAATATACATTTGTTTTAACGTACACACATACACACACAAGATAACAGAACACTAATGTTAAACCTTTTATAATTTCATTTAATTGTAGGTTCTATTTCATTCTATTTTTTTTTTATGTTGTTTCATAAAATTGTATCGTTCTATAAAAGTTTCACTTTAAAAAATAGGTATTAATATAAATTGAAATGTGTAATATATCTATTATATATCGATCATTTATTGATCTATGTCCGTTATAATATACAAAGCACCGAGTTCAAATAATCGGTATTGTCGATACAAATTAGTTAATAATAAAAAAAAAAACATATATATAATACAATATTATTATGCGTCACGCTCATGTGCGTGCATTCGACTTTCGTAAAATGATATTTTTGGGGTTTTTTTTTTCTTTCCATTGAATTTGAAATTAAGCTTTTGAGTTAGCATTTATCCAGCTTCTGAACTCGGAAACACGAGTGTAGACCGTAGGGTAATCTGTAAGGGCGCAAGCCTTAGCCCATGAAACCAAACCAACGAGTTTCCCATTAACGGTCAAGGGGCCACCAGAGTCACCCTAAATACACACATAAAAAAGAAAAGTTATTTTCTGAGATATATCTACTCTAACGTGATTTTTTTTCCTTTTCAAGCATAAAAGTACTTCTTTTAATCGGTAACATTTGAAGCAATCTATTATTTAAAAAAAATTGTATATGAATATTGCACAATTTAATAACCCGATCTTAAGTTTTTCTTTATCGTTATCTAATTCAAGTAATATTTTAGGTAATATTTTTTTTTGTTATATTACATACAAATATATTAAAAATATAAATATCTATTAATAGATTTAAATGTAATATAAATGTCGTATGATTTCTTTTCCTTTTTTTTTTTTATTTTTAATAGGAACGCAAAAGTCTTTATTAAAAAATGTAAATTACGTTTTTTCGCGTATAAAATAAAAGGACTTACGTTACAGGATCCTTTTTCAGATTTTGGATCATAAGCACATACATGGGAATCATGAATAGCATAGCCCATTCTTTTATACATGCTTCTGCAGTAACTTTGATCAGCAATGTAAATCTGTACGCGTTGTAATTTCTTGGTAGTGGAACCGTCTTGCTGTAAATAGATAAAAAAATTAATAATAATAAAGAGAGGGAGGAAATAATAATAATAATAATAATAATATTAATATACAAATAACAAAAAACAAAGAGAAATATAATTTTACGGACGATTAGAGATTATGTGCAATGTGAAATAAATTATAGTTATTTGTTTCGTCGAAAAACGTACCCAAAGTCTACCCCATCCAGAAACAACTGCGACATCTTTGGCACTGATAACGTCATGAGATGATGGCAGGTGTACGGAAGATAACAGTTTACTTTCGGAGAAAGGTTCGACTACCTAGAAAAGGTGATAGATAGTGAATTAAATACTTGTAGATTATACGTAATCTTTTTTTTTTTTTTTTCTTGAGTTATAGAGATATTATTCCAACAATAAAAGAAATATTTTCTTACCCTTAACAATGCTATGTCATTCTTATAAGAATCACTTGGAGTGTAATTTTCGTGTACGATTATTTTTGCAACATTATGGACAGAGCCTGGTTTGTTCAAATTGACTGTACCAGCTACCACTTGAATTCCATTTTCTGTTTTACTGTAGAAAAAAATAAAGAGTGAGCGAGCGAGTGAAGGTGGAAAAGATGAAAAAAAAAAAAAGTATAATGTGTTAGAAAAAGAGAAAAAATAAAGAGTTTTGAAAACGAAAAGCTCGTTTAGTAGAAACGCTTACGTGACAACACAATGAGCAGCAGTAATGACGTAGTTCTCGTTGAGAACTGAACCACCACAGAAATGGAAGGCCGATACTTTTACTTGAAGAGAGACCTGAAAGAAACGATCAAAGAACATTTTTAAACACACAGTACTTTCTCTCTCTCTCTTTCTCTCTCTCTCACTCTCATTCTATTATATTTTCTTTTCTTTTCTTTTCTTATCCACTTTTTTAATCACGTTATATTCACTCACTTTAAGCTTGATTTCATGCTTGTTAGAGAATTATGATTAAAATTTGTATACAAGGATTATGATGAAGAGTGTAAGAGAGAGAGAGAGAGAGAAAGAAAGAAATAATAAAATAAGTTCATGGTACTTGGTATGGTAAATCGTTTTACTTTTTTTGTTTCCTAATCTTTTTTAATTTTTAATTTGGAAGAAAAAGAAAAGAAAATGTTATTATTTTTCAAAGGATATTTGTAGCTAACCTGGTATGGTATTTCTCCTGGCTTTGCGTCCTGTCCGTTTACGATTCTTGGATCTAAATATGGCACTGCTGCACCTGTATAATTAATATAAGAATAAATTATTTATTTAGATTATGTACAATGTGTGTTTAAAATCTTAGTATAAATTAGACGACGTTTATATATATATATATATATATATATATATAAATAATTTTCATATCTTATGTGTATATTAATTAGTATTGGCTTTAACACGAATGTTTCTTTTTTTTTTTCTGTAATATAAATAACATATTATTTTTTAAATTTATTATAGCTGTAATATATACGAAATGGTGATTTTTCTCCATTATATTTATATGTTTGATGATGGAAATTATTCATACTTTATATGTAATATATTTATAAATACTAGTTTTATACATTTTCTACAAGTATTTTGAGAACTTGTAGAAGATACGAATTTGTTTACTGAATATATAAAGAGAGGAGAAGGTAAGGGTATTACGTCGTCGTTCGTAAGCTTCAAGTGTAAGAAAAGAGAAAAATAGATAAAAGACAGAAAGAAAAGATAAAAAAGATCAAAGTATCGTCGAATCGTTTGATATTGAAAAATATTCTGAGATGACCTATTTCTCTTTTTTCTTCTTTTTTTTTTTTTTCTTTCTTTCTTTCTTTTTCTTTTTTTTATTCACCAGACTCTTGTAAAAATAACAATAAAAGAAGAAGAAGAAGAAGAAGAAGAACAAAAAATGGGTTGAGAAAGACTCGAGAACGACTTTGTTGCCAAGAGAAAAAAGAAAGGGGAAGTGGAAAGAATGATAAAAGTAGTTTTTTTCTTTTGTGTTACACCTTACTTATATACATATCTCTATGTAAATATATAATTTATACATGTATATGTTAGATTGACCAGTAAGATATTCAATTAAAAATACTCATTTTGTTTATTTCAAAATGTTTGCTATTTCATATTTTTGTTTAATATTAAAAATAATACTTTTTATAGACATCTTTTGAAATAATTTCTACTCAAATAATGC